ATATATCAGTCATCGTTGATGACAAAATGACATCTTTTTGATAATACTAACATAACATATATCATTAACCAGGCCCCTCACAAATTTAATAATTCAATATAAATAAAACAATTAAAAAAGAATGTAGAATTCAAAGCATGAAACGTGGATATTATTTCGTAAAAGTCTTTTTTTTATTTTTCAATCATTTCGGTCAATACATAACTATATCCTCAGTACATATAATCTGAATAAATTGATTAAAATATATAATTGAAAAATCCTTTTTTCATAGGGCCTTTTTAATTATATGTTAATTTTAAATATAAAAATTGAAATTGAAGATTAAAGATTAAAATTTGACTAATCAGGACGAAGAACTTTTACATAGCACAATCTAACAGTATATTTTCGATTATTAAAAATTACCTTTATAGCAATAAATATGATAATATAAAGATTATCTACCAGTATTAAACGAGCTTTATAAGATATAACACACAAGTGCCATCTTAACACACGTAGAATAGAAAAAGACTAGAAATAAAGATATATATATATATATATATATATTAACTTACTCAACGCTGCTGTCAATTTCATTTATATTTTCTTCATTAGCACTTCCACTTATATAAGGCATCTGACAGTTCTCTTGACTTTTATCAGAGCTTTTATTTGTATCAAATTTCCATCGATAAACAGCGTTTTTTACTAACCGTAGATGTCGATGGTTTTGATATTAAATAATTTTCATCTAAAATCAATTTTTGTATGAATAATCCTTTAAATGATCTTTGCGGTTAACCTAAACTGTTCAAAATTGTTTCTCAAATTAAACTATTATAATTTACATTCAGATCCAATAAAACGGATTCGAAATATTCGAATATATGTTTCTAGATTTGGGAACAAGTTTACAGCTTCAGAACATTTATAAAAAAATAGTAACTTTATCTACAAATAATAATATAGTATATGTACGTATCTTGTTTCCAAATTGCACGAAATCTTTTAACACGCATTCGTGTTAATTTCCGATTTCTTTCTGTATGATCTATTCCCATACAGCACAGAACATTGCAATTACATTGCAGCAATGTTACAATCTTGCAAGTTGCAATGTAATATTGTTGCGACATTATTGCAACCTGTAATTGTAATATTTCATGAGAATGTGACAGCAACATTCCAATAACATTGCAATAGCAATATTCGGTAATCGCTAGTTCGTTCGTTTACCGCTATGCGACGCGCGTTGCAAAATCTATCTCGTATTTAAGTTTTAGTCATGATGATTATATGAAACTTGCAAAGAGTGGCTAGTAAGATTAAAGACATAGTAATTATTTGTATTAGTTTAATTTTTCTGATACGACCTCAACACAGAGAATTCAGATATTGAACTGATTGTTCAAAAATCGGACAGATAAATGTCCGAATAAATAAAAATATATGCAACATTATTCTAAGATTGCAATAACAATGCATTATTGCAAATTCATTACATTGCAATATTACTGTAATATTTCGTTACAATCTTCCTAAAAGCGGACATTTTAATTGCTGCAATCCCACAGCAATGATGCAACAACATTTTGCAGTGAATTTGCAATATTGCAACATTGCGATGAAAGATTGATGCAATGTGTATGCAATCTTGTGTGCTGTATGGGTGCTGTATGATTATTACTTTATTTCAAACACAATATACACGATACGCACTACACGATATTGTAACGTAACTGTAAATTAAACTGTTTATTAAACTCTTGTCAATTAGCTTAACCATTATATAATGGTTAGTATAGGCGTATGGCCTAATGGATTGTGTTCGACTGGTGAGAAGTGAGAGAGAGTCAATGGTGTAGAAATGTGTTTATTTCTTTGTCAGAGAGAAGTATGTATGTACAAGTGTGTGTGTAACTTGAGTGCGCCAGCTGCGCATTCGCGGCAGAGTGTAAGGCCGCAAGTTTCGAATGAAAGGTGACGGGCGCGGTAAGATATTACCGGCCGCGTCTGCGTGGTTGGAATCGGGTCCTTAACAGGACGATTCATGCGAGGGTGCGTGTTGCATCCCGGCGGCGAGGTTTGCGTTGCGGTGGAGTATGTCTCCGTTGTGCCATGCGCTGCGACCGTCCGGCTCTCGATGTGAGTCGCAAGTGAGTCTGCGAGCCGAGGCGGGAGAGGCCTTCGCATTCGGATGTCCCCTGGAACGTGAGTGTCACGTGGGGGCCGAGTCAACCGGGCACAGAACTCTAAGGGATTATTTCCGCTGTAGAGTCTGTGGTGGCGACGGCGATGCTGGTGCGTCAGCTGACCGTAGCTGTACATCCTACGTGAGGTGTGCGGTCAGAGCTGAGACTGAGTCTTTCGCTTCCGTGCCTTCCCAGGCACTGTGAAAAGTCGAGAAGACTTGCTGGTTGCGCTCTTCGAAGCAGAGCTGTGAAACCGTTCAAGGGCCCTTAGTGAGAGCTCGCTTTGAAGCGAGTGAGTGAGTAAAGATCTGCGGAGCAGCTCTTTTATATCTCGTCGATCGAAGCTTGATCGCGAGAAAGCTCTTCACCGCCTGCGCCACCTGGCGGTGGGTCCGCAAGCTTATAACTGGTAGAAGGCCTGCGGCGCGTAGCGGCGCCGCGGCGTATTATGCCGCTTCAGTACAGCTGTGTGGCGGTGAGCCGCCACAGTTAGGTTAGGTTAGGTTAGGTTCATAAAATGGTCATGCGCACATTCGATAAAGAATTTTAGAGAAAACCTGATCAGGGCACTGTTAAGCCTTGTGTCCACGATGCTAGAACTCAATCCGAGATCTCGGTCCGAGTCCTCGAACAATAATATTTATACTTGGCTGAATATAGTTAGCGTTGTAATCGAGTTACGATTCTTTACGATAATTTTCTGATCTATGTTATATTGCCAAGTTGGTTTATAGATATCATCAAGTGATGCACCGCTTGATTTCGAATGTTTTATTTTATTTAGATGGTCCAGATATTGTGATCTTAAATTATTAATTTTTTTTTGCAATTTTAGTTGTTAGTGGTTGTCCTGTTAATTCTTTGTACTGATTACAGATTATCTGTAAAGCTTGATCTCGTTTCATACGATTATGATAATCAACACTTTTTGTAACATATAAACAAGAATGTTGTTGATATAACATTAATAAAATTTTAACATTTTCCTTATTATCCATTTTTTATTATAAAAGAAGTTTTTTCTGAAAATCAATTTTATATATTATTATACTTTTCTTGAAAAATAATATGTATGTATAGGTTATAATATATTTTTAATGTCTAATTTAATCTGTATTAAAACTAATAATAACTACTTATGTAAATCTTATTAATTATTTAATCTTATTAATTTATTTTATTTAAGAATTATATTTCTCTTATTTTTTCAATTCTATAATTACTTACTAAAATATTATTTATATTGTTCACAGTATCTCGTATCACTATAAGTATCTTATATTTTGTCTTGACAGATAGTAAAAGAAACTAGTAAAATCTAATAACTCGCAATAACTCGTACCGAAAAATGGGACGCAACGCATTTTTTCGTTCGAGCTTCTTATTCGAGTTTTGCATCCAAGTTCAGTGTGTACATGATCCGAGTTCTAGTAACTTTCCCTCGGTCCGAGATCTCGGACCGAGTTCTAGCATCATGGACACAAGGCTTTAGGATTGCCTGAATTTGGCGCTAATAGAGCAGCCATTATCCGGCGTTGACAGAGCCGGATCAGGCTTTCCACAATAAGGCATGCCGGAAAATTACCTGATAGCGCCCGGAATAAAATTCAGGCAAACCGTAACCATTTTCTACTCGGGTCCTCGAAATCGATCCCGCAAAAGTGAAAGTAATCCAAGGTAAGTATTATATAATGGAAAAATTTTTAAAGTTTACGATATTTGTATTTACAATCAAATTAACCTAAAAATGCACACGTATTGAATGTAGATTGAAAATTTAAACACATTATAAGATTCTAAACTGTGAATTTTTTATAAACAAATTTTGTAATGTTTTGGGATTTGTTTTTGTAAATTTATCTCAGGTACAGGTTCTGCTGCAATAGTTTCTAACCATCTAATGACTTCGTCCACAGCTGATATGGAAAAAGGATCAGAGGACTCTCAATTTAAGAATGTTTTGATCCCGTCTTCATCATTTTCGCAAAATTTTGTACAGACACAACGTAATGCAACTTCGCCAATGCTTTTAAATCCATTCACGCAGCCATTCACGCAGGTGTGCGTTCGGTAAATTAGGTAACGTGACTAGCAGATGATAAACGCAGTGGATGTGCTAACCGCTGCATAAACGAATGCACCCAAAGACTCACGATCCCCATTCCAGCCTTGTCCGGGTGTTAATCTTACAGGCTACCTGAGAGGCGGCTTACAGTAGTTCGTTGGCTTGGCTCCACTGGGATCTTTTCCTGAAATTGTCCACTCACTCTCAAATCACACCGAACAGTGCTGGATCTCTGGCAGTGATGCAATATCGCCCACCGCGGTCCCGGCTCCGCTGCCTCACACAACCTCACAGAAGCGTACGTCACGTACCGTGTGCCACACGTGTGACGTACGCTTCTGTGAGGTTGTGTGAGGCAGCGGAGCCGGGACCGCGGTGGGCGATATCGCATTAGTGATCTCTGGTCTCTCTCGGAATCCCTCGAGTCCCGCGCCGATCCTTCGCGCATCCGATAGATTTTGGGGCAGGAGGGGACTTCCTAGATCCGCCTAGAGATCCTCAGGAGCGTTCACGTAATATCTGTCGATTCCGGCAACTAGCCTGGTCGTCCGCCGATCATAGATCGATGCGTGATGTAGAATTTGGGGATGAAGTTTGACAGGCTGGCCGAACCATGCTCAAACTCTCCCTATTCTTCTCGGCGACGACTGTAGGATCCTTCACCCATTCTGCAGCATGGGTCGGCCCATTGGCGTTACCCTTCATTTATTGCTGGTGACTCTACAACGATATGCACTTTTAAATCTATTTTTGGATGGCAAAAGTGATGGAAACTCGATACATGACCTGTGATGCTGTGGTCATGCTATCGTATAACCTTGATATTCCCACGATGCAGTTCTTCCCCGGGATGATAGGCTTCGTCTTCGTACGACAAAGGATGGTCACCATCCGCTCAGGTTGCTACCGCACGACACTTTAATCGCCTCAAATTATAATTATACAAAAAGTAACGCAAGAAAATACAAATAAGTGGAGATTGCTTCCTCTCAGAGGCGAGGGGCAACCCCAGATCATCCCTCTCGGTCGGACGGTTGCCCTTGTGACGGCGCACGAAAGGCGTCACGTCACACAATGTACTATGTGCATATATTATTTTATTGATTAATTTGTTAATTTTGTATTTATTACACAAGGATAAAAATAAGGAAAGCATATTTTTTTCAGTGAAATATATAGTATATATGTATATTTTTCAAAAATTATTTTGTCATATTTAGTTCATATTTATTTGACACCTTGTACATGCCTATTTTGTTTCGTACATTATATTGTAGCTTTATGAATTTCGGTCGAGGAAAAAAACGCAAGCGTCGTTTGTTTACCATCCGACACATATACGTAGACCAAATGTCAGTGTAGTGAGCTACTAACACAAACAAATATGTATATATGAACATTATGCCGATAATGTTAATGTCATTTTTAGTTCCATCGAAATGGCGCTATCGCTATCAAAGTTCGTCAGGCACTTTGGGATCCTCTTAATATTTACTGTACAACTTTTAAACTAAAACATTTTTTTATACCTCTTATGGTTTTGACAATATTCTTACAAAATCAAATACTTGTCAATTTGTAGGGGTTGTTTTAATCACTAAATGTGCGAGAAAGCACATATAAAAGTATGCATATCTTTTATTTTTAGCTACTCTATAACATATTTAAAGCCTATCAAAATCGAAAGGGTATATTTTCATATTAGAACTATATTTGATAGTTTGACACTTCTAAATGTTTGATATATGAAATATTAAATGTAAAGTAGAAATATTAACAATAAAATACAACTTACACAATCAATAAATTAACCAATAAAAATGTAGTTTTATATTTATTTATCAATTGTCATGATGCATAAATATCTAGACATGATATATTCCAACTTGTTAAATTTCATATTTTAAATACCTTAATTAATAATTCCATCTGTAAACACAAGTGATTAGTAACTAAATAGAAATCAGTTAATCACTTTAAAAATGTTCCACATAACTAATTACTACACTGTTAAAAAAAATAAAGTTATTAGTATATGCACTTATTAATATAGAAAATAAACCCAGAAACTTATTGTATACGCCACGTACATATTGTTTGAATCTGAAATTAGTTTAGATAATTCAAATTGTTTACATATGACATATGTTCAGTGGCGCACTCAGGTTTTTTTTCGGGGAAGGAGGGGTTTAAAATTTACACT